TCTCGTGGCACCTCTGATTTGAGACGAAAAGGTTTATTTTTTTGCAAAGAAGCAGCAATGTTATTCTCTTGCAGTTGCCTCTCCCCCCATGCAGGAGGGAGATGGGATTGAAATATACATACATACATACATACATACATACATACATACATACATACATACATACATACATACATACATACATACATACATACATACATGAGCAAAAGAAAAGTGTTGCCTAGCCTGGAGGAACTCCTAAGGTTTGCAGATGTACAAACATAGAAAAATTAGATGGGGTGAGTTTTAAGTGGAGAAGCGGGCAAAAGAGGCCGTGCTTAGGGACCAACAAAATGTCTTGTTTTTGTTTTTAAATGTTTTTGTTAAATAAATAAAATAAAAGAGTAGGCACTAGACGATGCTGCAATGGCAGGTCTAACACTGGCAGACTTTTTTAAACGGGAGATGGATTTGTAGTCCACTTCTGCACTGCCTCGGACGAAGGGGTTTGTGGTAAACTATGAGAACTCTTGGAAAAAAATCCTTAATCTTAAAGGTATCACAAATTTTTATTTCTCTTTGGGGTTGTTGTTGTTTTTTAAAAATTCTTTTCAGCATGAGCTTGAATTGATTACACTCCATTTCTACAGAAGTCATACAATGGCAGCGCCCGTCAACCTTAGGCAGCGAGACAACATAAACAAAGTTAAGGGATAATGGAAGTTGCAGTCCATAGCATCTGGTGAGCTCCACGGTGCTTATCCCTATCTGAAGAGAAAGCTCTCCTTAGGATTCCCTGCAGCATCAAGAACAGAGGTGGCCGTTCAGAATTGCCCTTTTCAGTACTACAGTATTCAGGCTCACTGGAGTGTGACTTTTTTGCCATACAGGAGGAGAGCCTCAGGTCCCAACAGTAAAACTCCCTACTTTGTCTACCTTTTTCCATCCTCCCCATCGACCCTGGTGTGCTGAAACCCTCCCAGATGAAGGATCCCCCACCCTCCATTTACCCACTCCATGTGGTGGGATATTCTTTTGACAGCAAGGTGCTGTGTCTGAAGAACTACAGAAGAGCTTGTTTTCCTGTGGGCCAGTCCCAGTTTCCTAGATCCTGTTTTTAGGGAACCCTGACCTTTTCTCTGGGGTTACTCTAATGTGGGTTAGCCTGTCCCTCCCACAATTGTTCCTTATTTGGAAAGCTCTGTAATTTTCCAGACTCTGATTGTATGTCTCAAGACACAAAGACATTCCTCTTCAGCAAATTAGGAATGTGTAGCTGTTGTTGCTTTTTCGGTGCCACCACTTTTCTTTCCATTACCCATGTTTGTTCTTCCCTCCCTCTCTTTTCTTAACCATCTTTCAGTTTCTTGAAAATAACAAACACATTTCTTCTCTTGCTATTTTTCTAAATTCTATTTCTGATAGGAATGTTTTTCCTAGGTTTCTATTGCTTTTAGGATCCTCCCCTGTGCTGGCTGTCTTGCCCAATATTCAAATATTCCTCTCTGTTTTCTAGGATCTGCAACTTATGCTAGGACTTATTTATGTGAACTGGTCAACAAGCTGGTTAACAGGGTTTTTTTTTTGCAGTTGTGATGACACATTCTGCTAGTTACCACATGCCACCTCCCAGACACCGTGTCTTCTTTTGAAAAGGTCATGCTTTTTTCCTTTTCAGTTGTCCTTGAAGAGCTGATCTTCAGTTTCAGAAAAAATTAACATAGCAGCAAACTTGGTACAGTGTCTCTTTACATAGAAATGTTTATGGTCCCCAGTATAAAAAACAAAATCTTGTAGCAAGAAGGCTAAGCTAAAATTTCTCTTATTGGTAATCTGTTTTTTCATGAGACACTGAATTTTGTAATTTTCTTCAGCTGCATTCTGAAAAATACACAATTGTATAGTTTTCTCTCAAATTGTAGATGGTCCAGAAACTGGATTAGCCCCCAAAACAAATGTTCAGAAGCCTCTATAAAGCCTTAGGGAGAATTTCATGAATAAATCTGAGAGAAATAATCTCTGTATTGTAGCCACATAAATGGTTGGTCTTGATATACTAGGTTTATTGGCTGTTGAGAAGTTGGCCATGATACACAATACCCAGAGATGATGATGAAAAACTTGTGTGCCATATGCTTGCTTGAGGTTGGATTTGTCATTGTTGGTTTCTGTTGATTTCAGTATATTTGATCCCCCTCCTTAACTTCTAGTATTTCAACTGAGGTTTTGCTGTATGTTGCTAAATGCCTATGAGTGCTTGCCTTTTTTATATGCATAGAGGACGTGCTGTCAATATGTTCTTTATAAGGCAGCAGATTTGGATCTTTCAAATCTTACCCTGGAAATAATTGACACAGTTTTATTGCAACCCTGTTGCCATGTGTGCTAAAAAATGTAAGAGTTGTGAAAAAAAGAAGGCAACATGTACATTGTATTCTTGAAGGCTTTTGCAGCCAGGATCCAATGGTTGTTGTAGGTTTTTTGGGCTTTTTGTCCGTGTTCCGAACACCAAAGTGTACATGTTTGTATTCTGCACTACAGCAAAGAGCTAAGATGGGTAAATAACTGGAATGCCAAACTTGGACCCAGAAGATATGAATTCAAATCCTTGATCAGCTGCTTTTTGTGCCTCACCCTAACCAACTCTGCAGGTTTGTTGTGGGGATAAAATAAGAATATCCCATAGATTGACATGTTAAGCACTTTGAGATAGAGTATAATACAAATGTGGTGCATAACAATAAAATACTTTAAAATAAAATTTGGGCCTAAATCATAAATTATCCGACCATAAGGAATTCCTTACATAGGTAAATTATAAAGTTGTACATTTCCTCAGTGTTGAGCAAACAAATTAGTTGGAAATGGGAAAATTGAGTGTGTAAAAACACACTTTTTGATAGAGCTTTTTGCCTTGTTTTAGAGTCAGCAGTTAGAGATTCATTATGTTCAGTTTGGCGTAAGAGACACCAGGTGAAGCCCAGTGCCTCTCAGAAAGCACTGTTGATATTTTTAGACCGTGGATAAGTGAATCAGCGGATATCGATCCCGTAGATAAAGGGGTTCTCCCGTAAAGGCTTTTGCAGAACAGAATCCTGACCGAATCTTTCCATGATTAAAAAGAAATAAAGTCCAAATCATATTGAGCAAAATCCTATTGGCACAGTTGCACTAGTTCCAGGCACTTTTGATCCCCACTTCCACCTGTGAGGTTCCCTAGGGTTTCCTTTTGCCCTGGGGAAGACTTTCAGGAGCTGGGGGGGGGCTTTAATAGTAGAAGGTCATCACTGGATCTATACTGGAAGCCCCAATCCCCGCAGCATCAGTCTGGCAATAACGTTTGACTGTTAAAGTCTCCCCCAAATCTCAGGACTACCAAAGGCTTCCCCAGAGAGCCTTGGAACCTGAAATGGGAGGGGGGGAGGAGGGAGATTTTAAAAAACGATTGTTCTTTAGTCGTGTCCGACTCTTCGTGACCCCATGGACCAGAGCACGCCAGGCCCGCCTGTCCTCCACTGCCTCCCAGAGTTTGGTCAAATTCATGTTGGTCGCTTTGGTGACACTGGCCAACTATCTCATCCTTAAATGGGGATAGGAAGCTTTAAATTAATTATTTCAGTGTCCGGATCTAGTTTATACTAGATTTTGCCAGATATAAATTAATTGGACTTATTTTCTTTTTAGTCACGGAACAATTTAACTAGGATTCTGTTCTGTGCCATTTTGCTTTGTGGGACAAGATTTCTGTAGAACCTCTTAATGACATATTGGGATTTTGAAAAAGGACAACTATATACCATTCTGTTCCCAGTTTTTACCACATAAAGGGCTCAGTTCGATTGTTAGTTTCACTTGATTCATGATTCAAGTATTTGCTTTGTTCATTGGGTCTACTTTGATTTAGCCTTTTAAATGTGTTTTCATATAATAAATGTTGCTGGAGACACAGATTTCTGGTGTTAGGATTTTCTGCTTATGGCAAGTTTCTTCTAAATGGAAATAACAGTAGAGAAATATAATAGCAGAAATAAAGCTATTGGATGGTTTTTGAACTTGTGCTAATTTTGTTGAATTGCTTGAATAATGGTGCCTTAATGAAACAGCCATAGAAACAGTTATTATTGTATTGATAACTCCTAGAATAGATCAAACAAAGATGGTGTTGTTAGTTGTAGTTAATCAGCTATGAAAACTCTGGAAAATAATTTGCAAGTGCTTTACATATTTTTAAATAATCCATTACTCTTAAACAAAGCTATACCAATGATACCACTCTGCTGGCAGAAAGTGAGGAGGAATTAAAGAACCTTGTAATGAGAGTGAAAGAGGAGAGTGCAACATCAAAAAAACTAAGATCATGGCCACTGGCCCCATCACCTCCTGGGAAATAGAAGGGGAAGACATGGAGGCAGTGACAGATTTTGTTTTCCTGGGTTCCATGATCACTGCAG